CAGGCCTGCAGAAAAGGCATTATCAGCTATCCACATATGACAGATGAAAAGAGAGACTCCGAGAAGTTCAGTAGCTTTCCCAAGGGCAGAGAGGCAATCAGCCCTAGAACAAAATTTACACTGTAAAGCCCACGGTGCTTTCTTCTCTATCACTTCTCCTGCTGTGCCAGTTCAAATGGCAAAGTTAGCGAACATCAGACTTCACTTTCCTTCTGTAAGCTTTTGATATCATCCTGACCTAAGATATATGTTCTAGAAATACAACTAGCTCAAATATTAATCAACTTTTCTAATGACTACATCCTGTCTCACACTATGCATGCTAACATATTTCAGAATTATTTCTATTGGAACAGTGGACATATTTCTCTTTTGAAGTTTCAGATTTACCTCTCCTTTCAAACTCATTTAGCTATGCAAAAATATACAACGTTCATCAGACTGCTTGACTTTGTAAATGGCATGTTCATTTACATAGTTAAGTTCTCAGAAAATAAGCTTTCTCTGTGCAAAGACTGAAAATTACCAAGAATTTTTAACTTTTAGTAATAATTCTCTTTGCTGTAAGAACAAATCCTTCAAAGGCCTGATCCAAATGCAAACATGTAAAATATCTTCTCTCATATTTTTACTAAGGGACTGGTCTGTGTTTATATAATTGATCGACATATCAAGTTATTAAAACTTTTAAAAAAAGATACCCATAAATTTACTATAATACACCCTTAAAATGCCAAAAATCACAATTCATAACGTTCCTCATACAGAAATAGACATTAAAAAATGATCTGAAATGATCAGATTTCATGTATATTAAAGAGTCTGAATCATTCATGCATGATAGGTATCTGTATTTAAATTATATTGTTTTAAATTATAACCTTGTGTTATGTTTCTAAGTTTTATAGAGTTTCATGTACTGTAAAATCATCTACATTAACCTTTGACAGGTCTGTGCTGGTAAAGGAGATTTATACCTGAGCAACATATTTGGAATAAAAACCTCAGTTGTCATTGTTTTTAGTATCTTCCTTTCTCTCTTTGACAAATTCCACAAATACCACCTACCGTCTGTTGACCAAAAAAAAACCCTAAACTAATTATTATAACTAATTATTAAACTAATTATTATTAAACTAATTATTAATTATGTTAACTAAACCATTTCAATTATTGATAATGGTCTAACATTTACTCCTATCTTCATTCACAATAATCAAAAAGGCTGAAGTCAAATCCCCTCAAACCATGTGAAAATAGGTCTATGTCACATGTCTTAAGTCTGGCTTTACTTACATGCCTCTTCCTTTCCCTTTTAGCTTATATGATAGAGCAGGGGTCTGCAAGCTTTTCTGTAGATGGTTGTATAGTAAATACTGTAGGTTATGGAGGCCACGGGGCCTTTGTTGCAACTACTCAACCTGGAGTTGCAGTGCCAAAGCAGCCATAGACAATACATAAATGAACAGATCTGGCTGGATTTAGCTGGCACCCTACTGGATTAGGCCCACAGCAGCAGTCTGATAACCCCTGGGCTAAGTCATGGGGGAAACAGGAAAAATTGTGTCACTACAATAACCTGGGGTATCTCAATATTTAGCTGGGCAGAAAGAAACCATTCATAGCCATACTGATTTTAAATTCCTTCAGCACTAAATGCAATTAATCTTGACCCAGAGAGTGCTAAATGCAATAGCCCAGCAAAATTAGATTGTACTTTTCCAGATAGCCATATATTTTTATTAAGCATATCACCAGATAAACAAAGCCCTGCTCCACACCAGGCTTTCTAAATTGTTTGCTACCTCCCTCTCTCGCCTTATTTCCGTAACTCACTCGAATTCCACTAGACATAATAATTGTTATTTTATTTTTTTGCTCAGGAAGGTCAAGGTATCACCACCTCCACCCTATGTAAAAAGTGGTTTCTATTCCCCCTACTTCTGCTACCAAACAGAGTAGCAGGCTGACTTCATTCTTAACCTCCTCCTCCCTTGCTGCTTTCTATTGTATCAATTGGACAAGGTAAATTCTCACTCTTCTCAGCCTCTCTTGCAGCTTAGCATAGCCAAGTAATAAAATTCAGGACAATAAATATCTCATGAAAGATTGCTGGGGGAGGGTGGGGGTGGAGAGGGGTACTCTGAGAAAGATTTTATGTTTTTTAAAAAAGTAGAGGGAGTTACAACTGCCAGAATCTCTTCCTCCCCATTTCTTCCTACCTTAATGCAAAAGTGATACCTGGAATGGGAGCCACCATTTTGCATCCCGGAATTTTGCCCTGTTAGAAGAGCTAAGGGAACTGTAGAGGTCCCACGCTGAAAACTGTATGCCAGTGAACCAATGCGAGAAGCCACGTGTCTCCAGAGTTGTCACATGGGGAAAAAACAGAACGCTGTAAAGCAAATTTTTGTTATAGATAAAAGCATTCCTAATCTACCTTTTCTGAAAGAGCTATGGTCCTGAGACACTACTCCTCGTGAGAAGTGGAAAGAGCAAACTGGCTGAGCACAGCCCGTCGTGAACTCTGACTGAACAGCACCCACTGCTTTAACCTAGAGAGGAAAGTAGCAGGAAGAGGGTCTGGCCTGAGGTTGACAACCTGGGCAGTAAAGCCAATGAGGGCAAAGAAGAGAGAAGGCTCAAGAAGAATGTTCAAATGCTAAAGAGATCTAGAAATAAATAATTGAAAAAGTACTGCTTTAGAATTGCGGGGCCAGTAAGCCTTATAATGTTCTTCTCAACCAATCAAGTCTGAGAATTCTGATATTACAATCATGTACTCCTACTTTTTGAAAAATACAAATTTATAAGTCATTTTTATATTTATATTTTATGTTTTTCAAGCTGATTAATTTACCTTTATGCTATTTTTCTAGTACTCAGAAAGGTATAGTTACTCTCAATACATGATCATTTTTTGGCACTTGAAGAACCTTTGAAACAATGAGTAACAATCATGTTAATGGTGATACTGACACCTATAAAGACAAAGGATTTTTCAAGCACACTAGTTTATCTGGCAGATCCATCACCCTAACTTTAGGGACAGTCACTTCTCTTTTTATATCAATGCCACTACAAAAAACACTAAAAAGTAAGTAATGCTACCCAGTCAAAAGAAACTTCAGAAATGATTATTTTAACACACATATCCCTTAAAATACAATTCTTAAGTTATAACGCCAACTTTTATTTTACTTTCTTAAAACTGTATATGAAGGGGGAACCCCCACAAAAATGGAATTATCTTCTGGAGGGTGGGTGCCTTGTAGTACAGGCTTCCCCTGCTAGACATATGTTTAGGAACCCACCTGTATCAGTGTACCAGCTAGCATTGTTCAGAGGCTGTGTCCAGCTTCAGTGAATTTTTTTGAAGACTCGACACATTTGCCCATTTCATGTTGGGTGACTTATGAGCGCACCTGCCCACACAACGCTGAGTGTTCAGCAGTTTTTGACCAAAAACGGCATGACCCCCATACCCCACCCTCTCTGTTCATCTGCTCTTGCCCTGACTTATTTTTTGTTTCCCCAGATGAAAAAATCCTCAAAGAAACATTTTACTGATGTAAAAAGGGTGAAACAAAAAATGACAAACACTAAAAGGCATCAAAATTGATGACTTCAAAAACCATTTTTAGCAATGGAAAAAAGTCTCCATAAGTGTACTGACAGAGAGTACTTAGAATGACTGAAGTTTAAACATGTAAAAATAAGCACACAATTTTTAATAAATAAATTTATTTTGGGGGGCCCCTCATATATGTATATACAAACATATGTGTGTATACACACATATATAGAGATATATGAGTGTGTGTATATATATAGCCATGTACCACTTAACTTGGGGATATATTCGAAGAACTGCTTCATTAGGTGATTTCGTTGTGTGTGAACATCATAGAGTGCACTTACATGAACCTACATGGTACAGCCTACTGCACACCTATGTAACAGGCCTGCATAGCCTGTACAAAACAACACGAGGTTAAACCAAACACATGGGAAAATCGTGCGATCAAGGGACAGAGCGAACACGAGATGTATGAGGCTGCTGTTTGTGTAACATGGCACACTGACAGCAAAACTTCTTTTAAGTAGAAAGAATACACTATAAAATAAAAACAAAAAGTGCAGTACAGCAAATACATTAACCAGTAGTAGTCATTTACTATCATTTCCCAGTACGATGTACTGTACATAATTGTATGTGCTGCACTTTTGTATGACCAGCAGCGCAGTGGTTTCGTCTACACCAGCATCACCACAAACACGGGAGCAACGCATTCCACATTGACACTAAGATGGCTGTGACATCACTAAATGACAGGACTTTTTCAGCCCAATGATAATCTTGTGGGGCCATGTTTGTGTATTAGGTACATCACTAACCAAAACACTATGTGGTGCATGACTGTATGAACACACACTCAAACACACTCACACACTCACACACACACACACACACACATCCCGCCCTAGTTCTAATGCCAAGAGTTTTCTCCTCCATGAGAATAGTTTGGGGGCATCTTGCTGCAGTGTAAAACACTTATCAATTATAACACCTATAAATCACCATAGACTTTTTTAAATGTTTACGATTTCAGAGTAGAATTACTTAGGACTGCCAAAGGTTTAGCTAGAAAGAATACCAAAAACAAAGAGGTTTCAGAGTCAACTGTAGTACTGGACCAGAAGAATTTAATAAAGTTCCAGCACTGCATTTTGGTGCCCAAATTTCCTACCGTCCTTTTTCGTTGACAAATGGGCGCTCCACAGCAGAACAGCGGCCACAGAACAGCTGGGTGGCGAACTGCGCGCAAAGGGGGCAACGGCTCATGCTGCCCAGTGTGGTTCTGCCTGCCTGGAAACGGCAGCCCATGCGGACTTACCCCGTTATAAATCAGAGCAACTATTTCTCTGGCATTTACATTTTCTTCATGAAAGGGTCAAACTTCCTGCATGTTAAAAAACAGAACTTTCAAAAAGGATATCTTCCCTTTCTTTGATGATCAGTTCATTCTGTTCTTCCAGCTGCCTGATCTTCTTCTCAAAAGATTCCTGCTCAGCTTTGAGTCGTTCTTCAGTCACCTCCTTCTCCTCGCTCACTCTGCGAGAGAAAGAAAAGAAAATGCCTGTGAGAATGAAACAGAGCATGTGCCTACGGCTGCAGTTCACCAAAACTAGGTTTCTTCCAGAGGAATGCTTACCTCTTTCAGAGGTTTCTTCAGGGATACTCTACGTATTTTTTCATTTTTTAAGTATATTTTATTATTATGCTATTACAGTTTCCCAATTTTTCCCCTTTGCCCCCCTCCATCTGTACTCCCTTTCCCTGCAGTAATCCCCCCATTAGTTCATGTCCACCTTTTATAAGGCAATCTTTCACACCTTTGCAATAAAATATGGATATGAGTTTAAAGTCAAGAAAGTTATCAGAAGCATCTTAAATATGGAAAGTCCAACATGAGACATAGGTTCCTAATTATAGTGGAGGACAGAAAAATATCTGATTTTTTTAAAAAGATTTTATTTATTTATTTTTAGAGAGGGAAGGGAGGGAGAAAGAGAGAGAAAGAGAAACATCAATGTGCAGTTGCTGGGGGTCATGGCCTACAACCCAGGCATGTGCCCTGACTGGGAATAGAACCTGCAACACTTTGGTTCACAGCCCGCGCTCAATCCACTGAGCTATGCCAGCCAGGTGATTTTTAAAACATTGGGTTTCATTCCTTCATTTGCAAAATAGGCAGTTGAATTATTTTATTTTACATGTTTTTTCATACTTTTTAAAAAAGATTTTATTTATTTATTTTTAGAGAAAGGGGAAGGAAGGGAGAAAGAGAAGAAGAGAAACATCAATGTGTGGCTGCCTCTCATATGCCCCAAACCAGGGACCTGGCCCACAACCCAGACATGTGTCCCAACTGGGAATCGAACTGGTAACCCCCTGGCCTACAGGGCGAAGCTCAATCCATTGAGCTACACCAGCCAGGGTTAGATATTTTTTTATACTTTTACTTAAATACTGTCAATGACATAAACATATAAACCACTGAAACATGTCACTAAATATACACAGGAATTTTACTCTTTCCTTCCGGTACAGATATCCTGCATTCCTCAGTGACATATAAATAAGTAGGCTAGAGTAAAAACACGGCATTAACATACAAATTTTGCACTACATTTATTCTTAGTCCAAAAGACTTTTAAAGTTAAAAAGGCTAACCCCCAATTTTTGATTCTTTAATGTCTAATTCTGAAAAGTATTCCAATTCAATCCTACCAAAAAGCGGTGGTCCTTAACAAGAACAGTAGAGGAATAAAAATAGCTTTAAAAAAACCCACAGAAACAACTAAACAACATTCAAACTTACTTAAAATGAGAACCCTAATTTTCATGCTACTCTGTGCACACGGACGTTGGCCCTGAGTTTCTGTTACTCGTGCTTGTTTCCCCAGAGAGGGTACGGCACAGTTATCCTACAGGCTCGCACAGGGATGTGTGTAAGTGAAATCCACAGGGAATCCAAACCTTCCCCTTGAGCTCCTAAATTTGTTTCTCCCAGAATCCTCTTCTACCAGAACAATTTCTGAATGACATGAACTCCATAGCTTTTCTTTTCTTGCTAGTCTTCTGGTGGAAATACTGAAATCAATGATGTTAATAAAACAGAATAAAAATTAGAATTTTAGAGTGTTCAAGAGTTGATTGCATTTTCTTTGAAATAAGTTGTGTGAAATGCATGGCACACAGCAGTGTTAATAAAATAGGTTTATTTCTTCTTGCTTATCTTGACATTCAAATCATTTTCTCAACCCTATTATTTATGACTAGCACAATATTAGACCGATGAATAGTACCGAGGCCCTTCTTTCTAAGAAGGTAATCCCTAAAACTGATATAATTACAAGGAATCCAGACGACTAGACAAAGAACAAACATACCTATATGCAGGGGATTTATGCTCCTGCCTTGCAGATTGTCAAATTTCCCTTAACATTGCACTAAGCACAGAGGTTATCTCTACAGCCTGCCAGGTCAGAGCACACAGGTGCACCCCAACATTTACTCAGTCCCTTTGTTCAACCCGATAGAGATAGACACAAACTCTATGGCACTGGCGCACAACTGCTTGTACACACATCCCATAATGCCAGAGTCTGTGAGGAGCTTTTCCCAAAACTTAAACTGCTCTATGCAGAAAAATTTACCACTACACTATTTAAACAGGTTTTTTTTTGCGGGGGGGGGGGGGTCTTTTCTGTTATGCTGCTGTGATTAGGCTACCCTTTAGCAATCATTATGCTCTGGAAGGCTATAAAATTAACAAGCTGTGGTAGGTACACAGTGCTACACTTACAGGGCTTCTCTGTGGCCCATTAACATAGTTAATATAAGCAAGTATATTAATACAGCTTTTGAATGCAGAGGACTTGCCAATAAAACCACCTCAAGATTTGATATTCACTATGAAATCTGTCTTCTTGTTTAATTTATGTTCAATAATATTTTCCATGAGGTAGGTGTTAGAGAAAGTATCTGGTATCGTGATCTGCATTTTTCATCAAAGCATTCTCCGACCACAAAGTAGCATAAAAAGACTTAATCCTCTATCTCATTTAAAGTATAGCAATGAGTTAATTAATAAAATGAGAAGCCAAGTACAGAAAAGGGAAATATTTAACTAAAAGGACAGAAAGGTTAAAACCGACAAAAGGATATTCCCAGAGATGGTTTGTTAATTATTTACAAAGAGGACAAGAGCCTATTCATAAAGTAAGATTGTTAGCACTTATTTAATGCCTCCGAGTATTTCTCAAAAGCTTCCACAAAATGTACTGTTATCTAACAAAAACAGAGAATCCATACCCTCATAATTGGGTGGTTGGGCTGAAAATTGTGCTGAAAATACTGAATTTCTTTGAAGTCTTATGGTTTAGCTCAAATATCCCTGAATATTTCATATTTTTCTCCATACAACTATCTTTTCTGTTTCTAAAAGTTTTTCCACACCCATGCATTCTAAATTTTTTAGTAAAACTAATGTTCCAGAAAGAGATTTATTAGGTGGCTCTGCATACCCCTGGTGTTCTTCTAGATACCCTAAGAAAGGGTACTCATACCTAATGCAAAAGACAAGGTCAAGTCAGCAAAACATCTATCCTGAAGAGAATTACAGCTCACCCCGGGGTCAACCCGATAAACAAACGTCTTCCCTTATTTAACATCTTGTATTTGAGAGCTGGATATTCTGGCTGCATTTTATAAATTCTGAATATCAGCTTAGTGGGTAAGACTTGGAGAAGGAAGGAACAGATTTCATTGGACATACAGCAAACAGAAAAGGCCATATTGTTTTCAAGCACAAGTAAGGGGCCCTGGCTGGGTGGCTCATTTGGTTGGAGTGTTGTCCCATACAACATAAGGTTGCAGGTTAAATTCCTGATCAGGGCACATCCCTAGGTTATGGGTTCAATCCTTGGCTGGGGCACATATGTGAGGCAACTGACTGATGTTTTTCCCTCACATTGATGTCTGTCTTGTCTGTCTGTCTCTCTTTCCTTCCTCTCTCTCTAAAATCAACTAACACATCCTTGGGTGAGGATTTTTTAAAATGTAAATACATGGTAAAAAGAATGGCTTTCATCATTAAAAAATATTTCAGTGAAATCATCTTAATATCCTCTTTATAAATTTTAACATTTGGCTATTGTTTAAAATGTACTGTCTAAAGGAACAGAGGTGCTTTAAGAAAGCACAGATAGCAATCGATGTCAAAAGGGCTCTAAGAACTATGGAGTAATAGTGAATGAATGTAGATGTGAAAATCCTCAGCAAAATACTACCAAACAGAATCCAGCAGCATAAAAAAGGATGAAACATCATGACCAAGTGGGATTTATTCCAGAAATGAAAAGTTGGTTTAATACTCAAATATCAATTAATGTATCGATAATACACTATATCAAGAAAATAAAGGACAAAAACCACATGATCATCCAATTGAATGAAGAAGAGTTTGAAAAAAACTCAATGACTCAAAATTTTCAAAAAAACAAATAGGAAGGTAAAATGTTCCTCAACCTGAAAAAGGCCATCTTCGAAAAACCTACATCTAATACTGTATTTAATGTTAAGTCTGAATTCTTTCCTCCTATGATCATGAACAGGACAAGGAGACCTGCTCTCACCACTGCGATTCAACACTGAACTGGAGATTATAGTCAGGGTAAAAAGGTAGGAAAAAAGAAATGAAAGGCATCTAAATTTTAAAGGAAGAAGTAAAATCATCTCTATATCAGAACATGATTTTGGACACAGAAAATCTAAGAAATCCACTAGAAAACTATTACAACTAATGAAAGAGTTCATTAAGGTTTTAGGATACAAGATCAATGTACAAAAATCAATTGTTTATACACTAGCAGTGAACAACCCCCCTAATCCAAATTAAGGAAACATTTGCATTTAAATGCAATTAAATTCAGGTTTGCATGAAGAGAAATAAAATACAAAAGGAATAAATTCAACAGAAGAAGCAATACTTATATACAGAAAATTACAAAACACTGTTGAAAGAAACTAAAGATCTAAGTAGATAGAAAGATGTTCCATGTTCATGACTAGAAGACAGCATTGTAAGGATGGCAGTACTACATTGATCTTCAGATTCGACTCAATCTGTGTCAAAACCTCAACTGGTTTATTTGCAGAAATTGACAAGACTGTCTAATCTGAAAATTCATATGAAAATGAAAGGGACTCAACTGTACCTTGAAAAAGATGAAAGACTCATGTTTTCCAGTTTCAAAGCTTACTAGAAAATGACAGTTATCAGGACAGTGTGGTACTGGCATAAGGACAGACACACAGATCAGCAAAACAAACATAAACACTCACGTTTACAGCAAACTCACTTTACAACCAGGGTACCAAGAAAACCAAAGGGAAAGAATAGTCTTTTCAACTAATGGTGACGAGATAACTTGCTATCTACATGCAAAAATCTAAAACTAAACTCAGTCCCCTCCCTACTTTACCCTATACACAAATATTAACTCCAAATGAATCAAAGACCAAACTTTAAGAGCTAAAACTATAAA